GAAATACATTCTTGTCTTTCGCATAATGTGCATTATGTAGTGTTACCAATACACAAAGTGGCCAACACGTTCGTGCAATTAATGGCGTGGGAGCTTAACACTGTCTTGCGTGAAATAAATGTACAAATAGGTCATTATCACATTATTTTAACGCAGCGTTATACTATAGCTTTGATATTCCCTTATGGCGTTAAGCGCAGTGACACTTTTCGAAGAGCACATAGGCTTTAGGAGGCCACGTTTGCTTCAATGCTCATTTCGTCATAAGGCTGTCACGAAGCAAAGAAGAAGGCGTCGTAAGACAAAGAAAGCATACACCAGCAGCAAGTGCTCTAAGTGTTCAAAGTGTTCTAGTGACGGACATGTTTAGATTTCTACCAAAGGGCGTCTCGCTAAATGACTTACGCTGCCCGCTGTGTCAATCATAAACGTTAATTCCTTCTGCCATCATCCATACTCACAAATGGCGGAAGACATTCTGACCACTACGCTTCATGTGAACCAGAAGCCTGAGCTGTTGTTGTTCGCAGGAAGCCTTTTCATTTAGTATGCCAACTTTCGTGCGACTTTGAACGAGTTTGACGTGAAATCCTCGCGTACAGTCGTGCAGGCCACGACGGATATTCCACTTGACGCTTTTGTATGCGCCAAGATTGTCCATTTCAGAGATACAGTCTGAAGATACACAAAAATAAGAATTCTGGCACTGTGCCGAAATACTAAGTGCGCAATTTGGACTTATAACGCAAATCAAGGTGCTTGTTTTGTCTTTTTAGTGCTGAAATTGCCTCTGAAATATATTGAAAAGGTACCACACTTCATTTAAACCATGAATTCAAATAGTCGTCGTGCGATGTCCAAATTATCATAGGTGTAGGAAATAGTTAACACCAGTGATGTGCACCAATACTGAGACGTCTGAAACGCCGGAAAATGCGATGCATCACTCAAGCATTTTGATTTGAATAAATGCTTATGATATAACAGCAATGTATGTCACCGTGCGGGAAGTCCCCCCGATGTAAGATGGACGCTAGCGTATGAATAGGTTGAAAGGTGTCTGCCATAGCCGCACGTCGACAGCCTCGGAAATGTTCGTGTCAAGGTCAATCGAGTGAGATTGGTAAGCCAAGCATTTCACTTGGGCTTTACAGCCCTAATGGAGTTGACTATATAACATAACTAAGCACGTGTGCACGGGAGGAGTCGCAGGCCGAAAAACGCTGGCGACTCCTCGTGTTCATGAGCCTTGAGCCCTTTGTGTCATTGATAACAAGGTAAGGGGCAAAACCCAATGCAAGCACGCCAACGCAATTACATGTGTTCGCGTCAAGGCCTGCCAAGAAGTTCTGCAGCGCAGTTTTTGAATGTCTCGATCTAGTATTTGTACAATGAAAGCACAGGAACTGTATAGTCGGCCTCAGTCCCGCTGATTACGCCTCACGACGAAGCGATAGCTCACCAAATGTCTGTGCTTGTTCGACACGACCTCCGCACTCAGGGCGCCCGGAGCTCGAATGGTCGATCCCAGTATGCCCCGCTCCTCCCCCCCCCCCCCCCCCATCAGAGGGCTTAGTGTCCATTAAACTTGTCACAAGAAGACGTAACCAATCAGCTCAAGTCGCACTTCAGGACGGGAGTGTAGTTTTGCAAAATGAATCGCGGGGCTGATCAGTGAAAATGCCTAACCTACCCCAAAATGTGCAAGGAGCACCCTCCCCATCTGAACAGGAAACTGCATTCTTCCTTCAGTTGGAACACAGTAAAACCTTGGGAGGCAGAAATCGCGCTTCAAGAATGCACCCAAAAGAGCTGGTAATTTTGAACCCGTGGTCTCTTAACCTAGGTCCGCAGCTAGTTGGAGGCCCTTTTCCCTATTAAATAGGAAACAACACCCCTGCTTCAGGATTAGCCCAATAGAACCCCGCGTGGCACAGAACGCGTATCAAGATTACGCCGGAGTAACAGTGAGTGAAGACTTTTGACGCAGCAGTTGTCGTTAACACGCGCCAGGGTGGCCAGTCGAATACACTTTGTTCGGGGGAGGAAAAAAGACCCTTAAGACCCCCTGAGATCTCAAAAATATGATAACTAGAGAGCCTACATCCACTGGGTGAGTTGCTATGCATGTCAACTCACTTTTGTCCTAATTTGAAGGCGCTGGGTCATGGCCTTGGTATCAAATAAGGTCAAACTAGGTCAAACTCCAGACTGGTGTTCAACGTGCCCTTAGACCTTCTCACGCAACATCCGTGAATCTAGATAACTGCTATAAGGAAAAGGTCAATGGTGTTCATTTAAGGTAAGTGAAGTTTGTGACATTTAGAAGGTTGAGGTGATCAAAATCCTAAGAGATTACTCATGTTATCACTCAAATAAGCGTGACAGATTATGCTAGGTGCTATGTTCCTTAAACAAAATGTTGATCCTGGCAATTTTAGGTAAGAGGCCCACGCTGACGTTGGAAAAAATGTCGCGCCCTTGTCATACATAAATTCGAAATGAGCACCAGAAAGTACCCCATAAAGCGATCTCTTGAGTGGACCGGCAGGTTAGTTTTGACTTTGCTCTGGCCTTCATACCTGACTTTAGGTCAATGCAATATTTTGTAATTTTAAATTCAGTTGGTGTATTGCCCACGAAACTATTTCAGGAGCGCATGGACGTGTCTAATATTCTGTTGTCGCATCCTGGGCGAAATGTTCCATCCAAGCATTCCGAGTCTCGACCCAAGCCGTGTTTTAGGCATCCGCTTCACGGACGAAAACCATATCAGACACAAACACGTGCGCACGCACGCACGCACACGCACGCACACACACACACACACACACACACACACACACACACACACACACACACACACACACACACCACACACACACACACACACACACACACACACACACACACACACACACACACACACACACACACACACACACACACACACACACACACACACACACACACACACACACACACACACACATACCTCAGTCAGGGCTCCGACCGAGCGCTGACCGACGCCGCCGGGAAAACTGACCAAGCAGCCACAGTTCTGAACCGCCGGCCAACACCACTCTCTCTACCGCCGATGCGTGCGATCAAATGGCCTACGAATGAAGTTTACCCTGGCGGGACATACGGCCGGGCTAAGGGTATGCAATAATTCGTTACATTTGCACCTTCTTTTTGGGCTGGTTGCATCCCTGTAAGTTGTGGCGGCATGCGGAACGCCGTCTATTACATCGCACCGGCCCACATAAGCGGCGCATGCACAACGACTGAGGCCCACTGACGTGCCGTTGGTGGCAGAGTGACATAATCAGAAGACGACACTTGACGCAACCAGGAGTTCTTACCGCTGATGACGACTGCATGCATGAAACAAGTTCATATTCCATGAAGCTCAGTGGGCGTGTTTACGACCGTCTACACATGCACACTGAGCTTTTATAGCTTCAACCCAGTTCTACCGGGCAGCAGGCTAAGAGAAGGACAATGCGATTCCAATATACATCGATCTATAAAAAATGACGATGGACTTGCAACACTGGTAGAAAACATCAGTGCCCTGAAAATACAGAATGCAAACGGGGCACACATCTTGCGGAGGACGAAATGCTGGTAAGGCTTCAGTTAACCACGATGGCTGCAACAGAAGTGGGAGGGAAGTAGGTACGTAGTAGGTAAATAGTTACGCACAGTCGCAGTGAGAGTCGGATGAATGCGGCAGCGACTGAGAGACCTCACCTAGGAGGGGAGAGTGGGTGTGTGTACGAGAGAGAAAGAGAGAGAGAGAGAGAGAGAGAGAGAGAGAGGGGGGGGGGAGAGGGAGAGAGAGACATGAAGGTACAAACGACCGCTATGTACAGTGTACGAATTATTGCCATTAACATGCTGGAAGTTTCCTTCATATCACTGAACTTGACACAGGTTTGAATGACCTGTTAAGACGCATGTTTTTAAACGAATCAAACGTGCACACCTAGCTGCAGGAAAAAATCGTGCACCCTTTTACGTCGCCCTTTTTGCTGAAAGCGTCATAATTTTTGGCAGCCATCGCAGCTGCACACATGATATGATTTCGTTTTGCAATTATATTCCCTTCATGTGTTCTATCTGAATCATATTCACTCGTCGCATTCATGATTCTTCTCCCGTTCTAACATTATCCAATCTGCCTTTTGGTAACGCTGAGTATCTTTTGGGCAAAGATCAATCCAAGGAATTTTGGTTGCACGTTTGAATGCCTACCAACAGCCTGTTTTGTCATATTTGGACATGACCAGTGTTGGCTTATGAATTGCAGCTTTTTCGCATGACCTAAAGTCTAAAATGATTTCAGCGAACTTTTTTTGCCTAAGGTATAGCTCACATTGCGAGAAGCAGCCAGTCTTGCATCCCGCGTTGAGCACCCGTAGGTGCGTTTTACACGTTAAACTTTTTCTAATAATTTAACCTGTTTTTAACCAGCGCCCGACGCGCGTTGAAAAAACGCCCATGTAAACACACCGTAAACAAGATACATCATCCGTTGGAATCTAAGCAGCTGGCTTTGTATGTCTTTGAGTAAAATTGATTAATATCTTATTATTCATGTAAGCAGATGAACAGCCCAGGGACGATCTTATTCACCCCTTTCACTCAAAATTTCAGTGTTTGGTATCGCATGCGTTAAGAAAAGAAAGGAAATTACATGGAAAGAATGGAAAGAACATTGCACTGTGGTCATAACATTATGACTATTTGTCACGATATGATGCTCACGTCACACGATCCGAACAGTTCAAAAACAGTGGTAAATAGGTAATCCAGGGAGGGGCTGAAGCAGAATGTAAAACTTGACGACTGATAAGAAAATTGGGTCGTCCAGGTTACAGCTTAAGATAAATCTTCTGGTGACACTCATTCATTTCGAAACATACTTAAAAAACGGGTCATACCGAAAGAAAATGATAAAACATGCAAAAAGGTGGCCTGTAACTGTCACTCACCATGTGTTCTTCGTTGATGTCTTGAATGTCTCGCACCTTCAGGCTCAGCGAAACTTTAAGGGGCTGACCTGGAACAACACAGAACAGAAAACTTCTGAGAACCTGTTGGTTTGATCCATTTACGGCATTATGAAGCCACAGAATCATAATAAAATTGCATGAAGTGGTTTTAATTTGCACATATACGACAATGGAACTACATGAATAGCATCCAACTCGTGTTTACTTCACGTAATAGCTTATAGTCATTGAACAGCCAGGAACTTACCAGGAACCAGGAATTTAGGTATTTGCGGTGAACCGACCGTTCCCCTATTGCGTGTGTAATGTTATGTGCAAGGTAACAGTGGCTGGTATCAGGGTGTGTATGGGGCGGGGGAGGGAGGATTATCCCGACTATCTAAAACAGTGATTGATTGTTCACAGTCCTCGCTGCATTTCAAAAAGGCAAACTTTGAGTTATTGCAATGGAGAATTGCAGTCTTTGTCTGACATCAGCAGGTCATTTCAGGATAAACAGATGGACAATTACTTGAAGGGCAGGAACTGGGACGTCGTGGGCCTATATATAACTACAGCACTCGCTCGAGTGCTGCGGTGTAGGGTGAATTTCACTTCCCCTGCATTTTCCAATGCCTCTCCCGACTGGTCCAGCGTAGCCAGGCCAAACTGTGTCTAGTTGCAGACAATTAAAGGGTCAGTTTACCAAATCATATAGAGGTGCCTTATCAAGTCCGTGACCAGTAGCAGGTCAAAGAGGCCATGCCTTTCAGCGAAGGTAATGCCCAGATAACTTTCAACCTGAATCGACGACAACGTGTTAGACAAGGACAATTGGACTCAGGCTTATGCCGTATTCTGTTGACCTTGGATCAAATATTAGGGTCAGAAAAAGCCAAAATCAAACTTACTTTGTGCCCGGAAATTTGGCTAATGGGTAGTTTTGCCGCTTGTCGAATTCCCTGATCATAAGGCCGTCAACAGATTTCCTGACTTTATGACGTTCAGATAAGGCTACTGACCTAGGCTGACCTTGATTACTTTTTTATTCGAGGAACATGGCGCTTCAGCTAATTCTTGCTGTCGCTTATAACTCCATATGTTGAAATAATTTTTCAGGCTTTTGGTCGTTTTAATCTTCTAAATGTCAGAAAAGGTCACTCGCTTCATACGCCACGAATTGCCTTTTGCTCGGGAAGGGTAACTAGGCAACGGCTGGTTGCGTGAGGAGACCTGGAGGCACTTCGAACACTCATCCGGAGTTTAGCTTTGTTTTACCTTATTTGACCCAAATGTCACGGCCTCCGGCCATAGGAAAATTGGTGCCCCCTAAATATATATATATATATATATATATAAATATACAATATATATATATATATATATATATATATATAATTCAATCTGGTCGTCACAATCCATGGCCACATTCGAGCGTAAAGCTTTCATCTCAAGCTTCACCTGTCTTGGCAGCTTGTTGCAGACCGGGCGTTTCCGGTCAAATCTAACTGAACCATCGCAAAACTAACTATGGTCTGACCGTGGTGTTACCCCCACTACCCTTACATTACTCCGCTGCCTTCATCATGGTAAGCCATATTACCGATGGTCTGTACATTCAGGCCGAGGGCAATCCATCCCAACCGGGTCGCATCAGCCTAGACAGCTATCCAGCCCGCCTGCCGTGGCCGCGCGAAATAAATAGCAAATGAAGATTTGAGAGGGTGGTTTATGTGCATGCGGTAACAAGCAGCTTTACCCCTGATTCAGACTCACGGGAATCCAATCTCTTCGGACACAAAACAATACGGAGCCGAATAATGATTCCGATGAAACTAACTTTTCGAACGCTGGCTTTAATCGACTATTGATTTAAGCAAACTGCCACGACTGATCCGGGCCCTGATTCTCAGTTTAGAAAATGGTTTCTGTATCTTGAGTCCATTTTGCATCGACATCGAAATCTACAATCAGAGCTTTTCAGAATTTCGACAGCTGGTGATATCCAACCACAGCTGTTAAAGTGGTCATGAATTGCGTGATGGCTAGATGCAATATAAATTTACGAGCGGCTGTGAATATTCTACACAGCAAAGAAGATTGGGAACGACAGTATCAGTTGACGATAGCTTCAGTTTGTGAGTGATCAAACAAAATTCATTTTATGAGACTACAGAGAGAGAGACGGTTTACTGAGAATGGCTTATTATAATTTAAAATACATGGCTTCGAGTATCAACTCATATAGCACACGTGCACAATATACATATAAAGTAGGATACTACTTGGTTGATAATATATATATATGTGTTTATAAGAGTGGTCATAATTTGGTATACCTGATTTGCCTAGTCACAAATCACAGTAAAACGTTTGGAGTGTAGTTGCGCTTCTGCTATTTCTGCCGGAGATCGCCACTCGTTGCTTCGGAAGCAGATATCCATGCATGGGGGACGCTGGCATTTGTTTTCCTAGCTTTAGGCACAGCTTTCTTCTCTGCCAGCGAGGGTTGTCAAGCCCAAGCGTTGCAAGATGTGCGAGTACTTTTCCGAATCGCCGAAGATGATTTTCAAGGCACTCCTCTGCACTTTCTCAAGGTGTTGCGCCTGCTTGGCAGTGAGTCCCGCGAAACACGAAGCATCCATCTACGATTTGTAAAGTCGTGGAATATATCAGTTTTGCCACAGTACCTGAGGTCCAAGGTCTGAGGTCTATGAACAAGCTTTAGCTGACTATAACTGCCAAGTGCTTCGAAAGCTTACATTAGTGGATAGTGTACTTTGCTTTATTTTTCTACGCGTCAAAATTGGAAGCATACATGCATATTTTGATACCTATAAGTAGATTATGACACAAACTTAGTCAGTGCCTGTACAACTGATTCCAATAAAAAGCCCCGCATTGGCTGAAGTTCCCAATCAGAAAATGATATGGAAGTCAAATATAAGCCACCCGAATTTTGGAGGATTCTTAATTTAGTTCAATCTGAAATAAAATTCAGCACAGGCCTGGTAACGCGCAGTAAATGCAACCAAAGAGCAAATGTGCTGCACCACTCGTTCTGCATCCAACATAATCCCAAGGACTGCCAGGAACCCTACTCATTGCTTGCCTGCTAAATATAGTCATCATCCGAGGCCCTGACATTGAACGGTGTGCCGTGGAATGGAAGCGCCGCTGACACAATTAGCCACTGTTACTGCCCGACCGAGGATACGACCCAGCGGACTTCAAATCTCATTCCCGCCGGCCCAATACGAACTTCGCCGAAGCTGAAGCGGGCGCAGCTCCGCTGGGCTGACTCTCCCAAGACTGCCCGCCGCCGTGGGGTTCGCAGCGGGGTCTGCCCGGGACCGCACGCAAGCGAATGCACTGGCGTCTTCTGAGACGCCGTGCTGTTTAGCGAGCGGCCGTAGGCGCCGCCGCCCGTGCTCGATGGCCTCCGCGCGCATTACTGTCCGTCAAGTGCCACGCGTCGCTCCGCTCGGCTGGCAACGCGGCCGATTCGCGGGGAGTCGCCGCGGGTGCGCACCGGAGCCGTCTGCTGCAGGAGAGCCTGTTGTCTGGTTGGCAGCCTCGGTGGTGACGCCACGTTGTGGTATCGTGGAAAGCTGCTAAGCGTTACTATATAAATGCGCATTGGTGGGGAGAGCTTGGCTTCATCACTTCTTATTGCATTACGAGTGGACTGCCGTCGTGCAGAGTATACGTGAGGAATACATGCACGACTCCATATGATAATTTTCGGATGGCCACAAGAAACACTATATGACTGATGGAGTCGGCGCATTGATGCACCAATCGCCATCATCATCCTGATGACTATCAAGCAAGCTGAAAGGTTGAAGCTCCGTGTGCACCTTTTGCAGACGGGGAGCACAACGATATCACTCTTCACGCCCTAGTCTCTTCGGTCTCTCTCCCCCCTCCTCTCTCTCTCTCTCTCTCTCTCTCTCTCTCTCTCTCTCTCTCCTCTCTCTCTCTCTCATCTCTCTCTCT